AATAATAATAATATTTGGACCAATTGGCAAGAGAAAGTCTGCTATCAATGCACGTACACTGTAGCTTCCATGAGTGCTAAGGATTCACATTAGTGAGAGGGATGTGATGATGAAGTTGATTGACATGCTGGCATGAGGCTTTAATTTGAAGCAGAGCACCAGTTAGTCACTTTGACATTTGTTTTGTGAGACTGCAGACTTTCTCAGGAGAAAATGTAATCTTAATATCTTCAGAGCTTTACATTGCTACCTTCTTTAGAATAAAGTCCTTCAGACTAATTTTCTGCATCTGCAGTGACAACAGTTGTTTGAAAGGCTGGGAAATCTCCAGGTGACTTTCAAGGTATATCATATGGTGCATATATTGTCATGAGTTGTCTGATGTCCCTTTGCAAAGTCACGTCATGCTCTGCCATGTCAATAAAATTACCACCCTGCTTCAGAAACACACTGACTTCTAAGAGCTTCATGAAATAACCCACTGATGTTTGTTAAAAAGGCCTGTCATTAGAATGACCAGCTGGAAAAGATGGATCTTAGAAGGAAGCTGGTACAGCTCTTTAAACAACTGATTTACTATTATTACAGAGATGGCTGCCAACCCACAGTAATAGCACACGAACCCATTTTAAAAGAAGGAATAGTTATTTAGCACATAGTAACTGTATTTTTTGAGGTGCTCAGATTAGTGTGATTCTTAAATTTGAGTGCTTTGCAATGCTTGATTTAAAACTGATGTGAAATGGTTGCCTCTATTACCATTAATAGTAGGATATGAAGAGGCATAGGACCAGTCCTGACAGGTAAATCTTAGGTAAAGGATTTCTTGTGTTTCCACGTATGTTTTGAACAAAACAGATTCACCCCTCTTGTTGGCACGCTTGATGTGTGTTCTGTTTCAGAGATTATCACATTGCCTTTAGTAGGCAGATTTCTAGTAATTGTGGACCTGTTAATCTGGGAGTATCTGTTTTAAATTTCATGGGCTTGAGCAGTTTGTGTATCCTGGAATCTGAAAGGGACTTCTTTCAAAGAACCCAGAGATAGGAATGCTCTTTAAGCCACAATTTTTCTGCAAGGATATGGTAACAAAAAGTGAGACGCTGTGAATGTAGATAGCAAAAGGAAGGCCGAAAAGCAATTATGTAACTACTGTTGGCAAGGTAGGTATCAAATTGACTACAACTGGAACTGTTAGTGATGATGGAAACTTTTTAAACATTGAGCAGGAAGGTCTCTTTCCTACAGTTTGTAAGTGATCTTGGAACTGGTGCAAAAGCTCTCCCCAGCAGGCACTGATCTACCACTGACTCAAATGTGGGTGCCCTGATCAAGTGTATTTGGATTAGCTGCTAACCAATGTACCAGCTTGGCAAGGCTGGTCTTAGTGGAAATCATCATTCCATATTTCAGGTAGTGGGTTTTCATTCTACCACAGGAGGACATATTAAGAGACAGAGACTGGACTTTCAAGTGATGTAGCTGCTTAAGCTCTGTATCTGATTTTATCATCTAGGAAGCAGGATAAGACAGCTGCAAGCCCAGTTTCCAACAAATTAATCTTCTGTCCCCTCTAGGCAGTGGAGTTGAACCAGCCTGTGCCTTAGCAATCAACTATTTGCCTTCCAGGATATTCTAACATGTATCATGGAAACCCTGGCTATAATTACAGCAGTCATTCTGGAGAGGTCATGCCGACTTCCTGACCGTGTTAATTAATTAACAAAGGTGTATGGAAACCAGCCAAAACCTTTTAGGAACCTTGCCTGTTGTTTAGCAGATTTCCAAGGCAGTATTAAAGCGTTGCCAGATTTCCCACAAAATGTAGAGTGCTACTATTCCAGTTCCTGTCATCAGTAGTCACAGCAGCAAAGAAGGAATTCAGGTTGATGAAAGGTGGTCTCACGGACAGAGTCCAACAAGTTTGACCCTGATGGGCACAAAACTTACTCATTTCCTTTGCCGCAACTATGCACATCAAGATTGTCAAATATAATTCCTGAACATGAGAGAGAACAAGTCTCTTTTACATCTTCTTCCTTGTAGGCTACTGGCAGAAAGGAGGTTGTAGATGAGAGAAGCCAGTAAACTAAAGCTACATTGGCCTCGTGGTAATCAAAAGGTTTTGCTTTCTTTGCAGCTATCAGTTTCTAGGAATACTGGTCAGCTCCATACAAGAAAAAACACTTGTTAACTTACTACAAATTTCTATTGCTAGAAGTTTTTTTCAGTTCAAATCCGGACACGTTGTGATGGTTTGAACATGATTTATGGTGCTGGACTGTATGTCATTGTACGTGGTGTGAGTTATCGGACCTTTCCTTGCAGCATCTCCAGTTATGTCCTAGACTGAGCTCTATTTCAGAGAACTACCAGGGAGACAAAAAGGTTGTGCCATCATATTATGTTATTGTGGTACTAAACTAGCAGGTTAAAGCAACAAACATAAAAGATAGGCTCCTTTTTGCCTTCCTCCTTTACAGAGACATTAAGGATACCGCAGTGAACTCATAAATTCTATCTCACTGTTCAAGGGTGCTAATTCAGGCTTTTGCACAAATGTCCCACAGCCGTTATTTCTCTCCGTTTTCAGATCAAAGTGCCATGTAATATTTTGCATGGGTGAGGGAGAAAGAGAGATGGGAAATAAAATTCATTATGTGCCTTATGACCCTCTACTGCTTGGCAGTTGGGAGAGGTATGTTGATAAATAAAGTACTTGTTAATATGCCAGTGTTTTACCGCTTAAAAAAACCCCACACATTGGTTTGCTTATGTAATTATGAACATTGATAATGCCCATAAAAAGCCACTGGCAGTCTGGAATTGGCAGTAGGAGTATGGGTTGTGTTTTGGTGTTTTATCGGACTGCAGAAAGTCAAAACCTTTGCTCAAGATTGGTTCCAAGGCCAGTGTCAGTATTCAGTGGTGTCTTCTAGTGGAGAGTAATCTTGTATGCTTCTCCACCGATTTGTGTTATTCCAAGAGATTTCCAGATTTAAGAGGGACCAAACTAATCACTGCAGGGATTGCTTTTTACCAGGCTCAGGTATTTTCTTCAGGTCTGAAGTCGCTGCACCCAACAGCATTGCCCTGTTGGCTGGCTAAGTAGCATGGACAGTGTTCTTCTGCCATAGTCCAGGAAATCCTTGTACAAAGCAGTTAATCTTCCACCAGAAATACTTATATTCCAAGCATGAGGGCTTCTCAGTGTGAGTCTCGTGTAAAATGAGGTAGATTGGACCTAATTCAGACCTCAGTAGCAAGGCGAGTATCTGCTCTTAGGTAGATGGACCTTTTGTTGAGTTTTGTTTACAGCCTGTTTTCCAGTGATTTTGAGTTGTCACCCACCTTAGGTACATGTGCTCCATTTTCTGTCAGTCCTCTTTAAGTGTAACAGAAGATTACTCATTTACCCATAATTTAAAGCTGGCTTTACCAACAGGCCCTTCCTTCTACTCAGCACTGGAGGCACCACAGAGTTCTGTCTTGTTCTGGGTTCTCCAGTACAGTAAGAGCATAGACATACTGGAGCAAGTCCAATGGAGAGCCACAGAGTTGATTAACAGGTTGGAGCATCTGACATCAAGGAGAAGCTGAGAGACTTGTGAATGTTTAGCCTGAAGAAGAGACAGTTCAGGGATGATTTTACTGATGTGTATAAATACATCAGGTATTTATTGGGAGGCAGTAAAGAAGGTGAAGCCACACTCTTCTGAATGGTCTCCAGGGAACAGACAAGAGGCAGTGGGCATAAGTGGAAATATAATAAATTCTGCTTAAACCTGAGAAAATATTTTTTAACTGCGAAGGTCGTCACATACTGGAACAGATTATCCAAAGAGGCTGTGGAATCTCTATTGGTGGAGATAATTCAAATTCTGAGAGTAGTGTCCTGATCAACCTGTTTTATTGTCCCTGCTTTGAGCAGAGGAGTTGGACTAGGTGACCTCTTTAATTCTGTGAAAATATATCTAAATCATGTTTCAGGTTCTAGCCAACTTTAATCTTCATCTTATATTAATTTTTTTAATGTGTTTGTAAAACGTGAATATTGTGTTCTAGCAAACTGCATTGCATTGGAGTGCCTACTACAATAACCCAGAGCATGTGAAACTTCTCATAAAACATGATTCAAACATTGGAATCCCTGATATTGAAGGAAAAATCCCACTTCATTGGGCAGCAAACAACAAGGACCCTAGTGCAATTCACACAGTGAAATGTATTCTGGTAAGAAAGTCTATTATGTATGTAGCACTTTCTGTATTTATTATTTTACTGTGATAGAAGTATTTTTTGTTGTCTTGATATTTTTTCATTCTAGTCCACTGACTCTTTGAGAATGAAATAATTTGCGTTTCCTAATACCCAGAATTTTGTAAGGAATCATCTGAAGAATTTTTGCTGTCTTGAAAGGAGTTTCTTCTGAGTTCTTTGCTCTAACTCATGGACTATGTATATTCTCGTAATTAGTTTGATGTGTATAGCTATTCATTTTGGGGGGAAGCAAGGGAGGAAGGGGTTGCAAGTTCTCCTAGTTAAAATGGCCAGTCTTACTACTCATCTTGGTTTCATCTTGCACACTGATTTCTTTGTGTGTCTTTTCTTCATTATTTGAAAGTTTATTTCTAGTTAACTGTACTGAAAAGTCTAATTTAATTTGGTATTTTGGGTCAGAATTCTGGGAAATATGTGATCAAGTATCAGCCAGTCCACCATCAGTTTGTTGAGAGACTTTCCAAATATCTTTCTTTACAGATTTAATAATTTTTCCATGAGAACATGTTTTCTCTTTCTGCACTATTTATACATCGCCAGTTCTAATGACTACAATGAAATCATGTGCCCAGCTCGATTTTTACTTTTTACTTTGATTCTGTGGAAATCTCTGAACTTCACTAACATAGAAAGATACAGAAGTCTCACTTAAGTTTTTTTCCCTCGTATTACAAGAATTTCACTATATCTTTGTTTTTCAAAGGTCTTTCAGAACCAGACACATCGATTGTAAGCTCATTAGAATGACTTATGTCTGCCTGATTAGCTTGCAATTTGAGAAATAATGTGTGGAATATGAAAATTTGCTTTGCTTTTCTCCAGATCACATTGATAATCTTATAGTAACTGTTACTTTTTTAAGCTATAAGAAAAGTTTTTGAGAAGTTTCCAGTGTTAAATTAATGTGATTTTATTCCTATATTACTTCTCTTTATTCAAGATACTTATAATTTGGACTCAGTTGTGAAATAATTTTTCATGAACAGAATTTTGTCACATAGTTTTAGTTTATACATACCATCTACTTTTCTGCCACATTAGAGAAATAAATCATAAATAATAAATAAAAGCAGATAAGAATTGATGTATTCAAATACAGACTTTTTCAAATGTTAGGTGGTCAAGGGAAATGTTTTTAAAAGTTGTGGTGAGTTGGCCGCAGCCAACGACGTAACACCCGCAGAGCCCCTTGCTGACTTTCCTCTTGTGGTGGAAGGAAGGCAAGAAGACTGCTGGATGAAGATAATGACAGTTTAGCATGGAAAGCAAAAGTTGCATGCAGAAAAGAGAATTTATTCACTGCTCCGCATCAGTAGACAGATGTTAACCGCTCCCAGGAAAGTGGAAAAAGAGCTTCAGCATGCCTAACGGTTGCTTGGGAAGACAAACGGTGTAGCCATGAGCATCCTCTCTGCCCCCTCCTTGTCCTGAGGTTTTTGGGTTTTTTTTTGCTGAGCACGAGGTTACATGGTATGGAATGTTGCTTGGGTCAATTGTCCTGGATATGTCACCTCGCCATCTCTTGCTCACCCCGAGCCCACTCTCAGGGGCAGCAGGAGAGCAGGATAGGGCAGGGCATGAAAAAAATAAATCCTTGATGCTGTACAAACACTATTCAGTAATAGCTAAAGCACTAGTGTGTTATCAACAGTTTTAATCACAGTTATGAAGCCCAGCGCCATAGCTGCTGCTGCAGGGAAAATGAACTCCATCCCAGCCAGATGCATCTTGTCTTTTTCATGTGTCAACTAAATTGTTTGTATTCCAAATAGTTGTACCTATATGTTGATGGAGTAAGATAATACATTTAAATGAAAAAGTAATTTAGCTTACAAAATATGCTGTAAAAGATGATGATACGGAAACATTGTTACATAGTAATCAATGTGTTGATCGAATCTGTTGTTGAATATAAATACCTTTTTTTGGATGGTAGTGCCTTGGAATTTAATCCTTTAGTAGGATCGTGTTCTCTCCAACGTGAAGTGTTTTTCTTGCTTGTCTGGGTAGATACCACCCTACCAGAGCTCACAAACTAGCCCTCCTTTCTTAGCTACTTTTTGCCCTATCACCCAGTATTGGATCTGTTGCTCAGACATCACCTTTGATTCTCCTTCCTCTCTAGTTCTTTACATCCAAGTCTCCTTTATAGTTTTTCACATTATTTCTGCATGGTATTTTTAATGTGCATATCCATACAGTTAAAGTTTCTGTCATCTTATGTCTTAACTTACATAATTGCATTTCTGAGTTAATGAAAATATTGTCTTGCGGTGATAGCAATGTGAAAGGCCTATTGCTCTCTCACTGTTGCCATGCCTGCAACATGTTTCCATGCCTTTCATGGGGGAGTGCTGTAAGCTATGTGCTCAGGTAGGCAGGTACTTGTATCTACCACTCATCAATCTGCATTAGCACATCCAGCCTTTATTGCCTGGTGACTAAGTTATGAAAAATAACACTACTGTTGTTTCTTTCATGTTATCTTTAACACTCTGAAAGAATTCACCAGTAAATAGTTTTTCTTTCTGTTTGATGTTTGTATAGTACATAGCCCATTGGGATTGTCAAAATAACCAATAATGAAAAGAGCTCAACTGAACACTGAAGAATTAGGTTGGGTTTGCAGGGGTCACAGTTATGCACAAATTGCTTACATCTAATATATAAATCCATGAAATACAGTGAAATAGATCTCATGGCATATTTAGAAAGTGAACATATGAAGTAGAGAGAAACTCTGATCTGGAGATCCTCTCACAGTCAACTTCCTTTTCCACCTTTCCAGATTCAGCAGTGCTTAGTTGCATGAAAAACGTTGGGAAGATTTAAGGAGAAAAGAACAGAATAAGGTTCCATTAATATGATGGAAGCAGCTACTTAGTACTCTCTGTCTGTTTTGTATCTCGTCTCTTTATTTATTCTTCATGGTAAGAGATGTGATGTTTATTTATACAACACTTCCCAATATTGCCTCCAATTCCATGGTTCTAATTGCTGCAGAAAAATGCTGAGCTTCTGTTTCTCCTGTGTATTGTGCTTAAAATATTAATGTATAATGACAGTTTAATTATGGCTGGTTTTACACCAAAACCACTTATAACCCAAAGAAATTACACTCTTAAATGCAGGCAGGAAGAGGCCTAGAAAATGTTAGTTTAAGTTGCCAAAAATGTCAAAACACATGAGTACTTCTAGATTAGAATGTAAGTAGTGGCTTTATCATTAAATGATTCATTACCATTTTGGAAAAGTAACGCTGTCAATTATGGGGACGTGTTCTGGGGAACATCACTGACTTAGAGCCAGGAGTTATAGGAGTAGTTTGTTTAATGTGTCCTTGTGCTTTGTAAGGCTTGAAAATTAGCTATCCAGATTACATCAGTAAATTATAGGTAAAGTGAAGAAGCATTTGTTTTCTTGTTTGTGCATTTTGTTCAAACAGGTTTTGCTCTGGTGCGGTTAGAATTTCAGAAATAAACTTCTGTGCATGTCATCATTAATTTTTAGTCATTCTGAAAAATGATTCTTATAAAGATCACTTCTGAATTTTCTGCAGCAGGCTCTCTACTCCCCCTGCTGAGCTCCTTGCATAAAGAGAAAGCAAGCATATTACCAGTGAGTTTTCTCTTATGAATTATTAAGGCTAGGGAAGAACATAAAACTTCACTTTTCACTGTAATGACTCAGATCGGTACATTCAAAAGTACTCATGCTTTGATAATTGTGATTTTTGCATGTCACAGTGTTAACATCAATTGCATTTTTTATTAAAGAGATTCACATTTATCAGTTTTTTATGTTTTTAACAGATTATCTGTTATGCTAGTGGCTAGATATGGTAATGAGTTACAGTATGTTTCAAGTCCGCTATTTTTTTTTCTAGCAGAACATGACTAACACTGCTGATACAAAAAACTGCATCAGAGTTTCAGGTTTGTGAGAGAGACAACTTATTTAGCACTTGCATACAGTATGCAAAGTAGGTAAATGTTTAACTTTAGAAAACATATATTAATTAAATATCAGGAAGTCTAAGTTGACACTTTTAGAAAATAAGACAGTAAGAAACAAAGAACCAGGGCATTGCAGAGTTGAGGTTAATACTGCAGTATTCATTTAGCCAGATTACAATTAGGAAATACAGTTAACTATAACTCTAAATGTGTTTGTTTTTTTATCTGTTAAATAAAACATATAGAATGTACAACATTGGTAAGTTAATACTTGGATAGAAACCATAACTCTGGAATTTCCTGACTTTCTGCTTCTTCACTTACTGTTCTCAAAGTTAGATGTTTGTTTTCTGTGTAACAGTTTCTGCATTTCACGTAACGCAATACAAGTGATGTTGTGGCCTATTTGTGTGCCTAGTGAAGTCAGTAGGAAAAATTGCAAATAGTTTAGTGAGAAGAGGATCAAGAACTTGCTGTATTCATTGACAAGCTGCACTGATCACAATTTCTCCCTCTTTCATATGTATTTTGTAAGATACAGCGTGGCTCTGTATTTTCAGGAAGACTGTTTTTCTTAGTTGTCATAAGTAAAATCCCTCTGTTGTTCAACGTTAAAGATCTCAGGATTACATGCTTTTTTTCTTTTGCATAGGGTTCCCAGTGAATTGTTCTGAATTGTTGGTGATAAAACAGCAGACTTACTCCCTGTAGTTTATTTAAGCTCTTGTTTTGATGTTCTGCTTCTGCTCTAGATGTTTGGTGTCCCGCAACCTGAGTTCCTATTGTTTTGTTATTTACCATTTTCTCTAGAGATACCTCTTTTTTCAAGAAAGTGAAGTTTAAAGTTTGTATTTCATGGGGCTCTATGATATTTGCCGTGTGGAGCTCTCTGCAGTGCTAAGATGGTGTTCCTTTGCACCTGTTCTGCTCTTTTGCCTGGGAAAGAAAGAGAAATGAAGACATCTGTCTAGAAAGAATTTGATGAGAGAGAAAATTATAATACGAAACTATGTAGCTGGGGACTTTATGTAGAAGTAATTTAGTGTGTTTTTTTTAAGAAAATGTGATGAGAAGTCAAGTTATATCTATTAATGCCTATGTTGTGTGATCAAGTGTCTAATCACGATACTTCAGAAGATTTTTTTGATTCAAAATTAAGTCCATTACATGTAGATGCATTCATCGGAAGTACTGTCTGTCTAACTTCAGTCCTGTCAGCTAGGGACCTTGATACCTTCTTTAGAAATACTCTGATAGTCATGTGGATTTAAAATGCTAGAAAGGTATTAAAATGAAAGCCATAAGATTAACTTGTGCAAAAAGGAGAGTGTCCTAGGAGGAAAAATATGAAGTTATGTATGTCATGTTCAACTTAGAAAATCAAGTAAGAAGATAATAGTTATTTTCACAAATTAGTTAGTCATTTAAGGATCTGTATAAGGAGCCACTTGTACTACAGACTGGCAAAACTACAGAGTATATATAAAAAATCAGATCTTGTACAATAATTATGTATAAAAAAATCCATAAGTACAGTTTATATCTTTGTATAAGACTCAAAAAAAATCTGCAGATCATATAGTTTGTCTCTTCAACTGAAATATTTTTAATTCTTATTTTTTTTAAAGGAAGCTGCACCTACAGAATCTCTGCTTAACTGGCAAGACTATGAAGGACGAACTCCCCTTCATTTTGCTGTTGCTGATGGGAACGTAGCGGTTGTTGATGTCCTGACCTCCTATGAAGGCTGCAATGTGACATCTTATGACAACTTGTTTCGAACTCCCCTTCACTGGGCAGCCTTACTCGGTAAACTGGACAATGCTAAAGTCATTTAATAATTACTTGACTGTGCTGTTTAATCTTTGACTCTTGTTTTTTATTTCATTCCAGCCTGGCATTATGAAAACCAATCTCTTAGAACAATAATATTTTCTGATAGACCAGGATTAGAAGTTTGTGTGTAGATTGTTTGGGGTTTTTTTAAGCTTCAAATTCTCCAAAGCATTGTAAAATACATTGCTTAAGCAGGCTTTGTATATTCATGCTTTAAGAACAGTTAGAGCATATTAAAATGTTCTTGCATATGTAACTTTGTTCATAGCTTAAAAAACCCGTTTCTCAGGAAACCAGGACTCAAAAAAACTGGTACTCTAGAGCAGTGGTCTCTGAAGTGGGATGTGCACACCACAGTGTGCATGCAAGACAATTCATTGGGATTCATGGAGAAAATATCAAAACTTCTATTTGTATTTATTTTATATCTGAAAAAATAAGAAAACTTTATTAATATTTAATATACCAATTGATTCACTTGGTCCACGTGTAAGGTGGTCACATAGGGTTTGTGAGGTGCCTGAGAGAAGTGAGTGCTACACAATGCAGAGCCGCTGACAGTGGCATCATTCTTTCAGCTTATTGCAATATATTGTAGTTTAGGTGTGAATGGTTAAGTGGATTTGTGGATTATATTATCATCTAGTTTTTACTAAACTCCTCCTCACGAAATAGACAAGTGACCTAAAAAGATTCCTGCAAAGAAACTGCAGGTAATCTGATAATGCCAGCACAAGTGAAGAATGAGAAAATGGCAGAGCTGACACTTCTTCTGCGAGTACAAGCTCTTCATCAGACACATTATGACAAACTAATCAGATCTGACAAGAAGTTTTATTCAGATAAACTCCTTTTTTGTTCATATTGCTACCCTGAGACTCAGATGCTTTTGCATATGTGAATTCTGCACTGTTTGATTTTACAAGTTACAAAACTGGATCTTTGCAAAACAGGTGAAAACCTGATTAAATGTGAGTAGTCAGAATGCAAGGAAACTCATAAAATGACAGGCACAAAAATAATATGATTTAGAAAATTGACCTCCTATTTTCCATTCTCCTGTGTGCAGGAGGAAAAAATAAACACCATGCACTGGCTAAAAAGATAGAATCTTCAAATACTCTCTCTCTCCTTTTAACAGGCTTCATCCCCATGACCCTTTGGGACACTGCAGACAAAGAATGCCAATAAAAGAATCAGATTGCTCACTGGAGCGAGTTACTGCAACTCCAGTGACAATATACCTGTGGTTTGGTTATGTTTATTAACAAAAGAAAAAAAGAAGAGTGTTCTCAGATTTGCATTTGTATTTGCATATGTAAAAATACTGAATTTTTATAGAGAAACTGTGAAACATTTCTGTATCAGTCTCCCAGAGAAATAGGCATTATCACTTGGTTCTGTCCAAGAAGCAAAATTTATTGTGTTTTGAAATGGATTGTATTTAAGAGAGAAGTTTTGTCTGTTGGAAAAATGGATTGTCTAATCAATGTGGAATAAAGAGGAAGATGTGCCCAGACTGCCAGAGTCCTTTGTGAACTTGATGAGGTCTCTAGGTGGCACATGCCCAATGGGAACTTCTTATTGGTTAATCATAATTAATTTTTAGGGTTCTTTTTTAAGTTAAATACTGGATGTTTTATATAGATCTAAGAGTCTAAAATGTCACTAAGTGAGTTAACAGTAGGAGGTTTTAAGTACTGCATGGATATGGCCACAAATATTCTATTAAACGTGATGGGTTGCATGGGGCTGCATCTTAGGGCATTGTTGCTCATGCATAGATAAAAGTTTCAGCCAAGTTAAATCACTTCTAAATGAAAGTACTACAAAAATGACAGCCCTTGACCTCAAGAATTGAGTTTTAATGTTTATATTAATGTCCAAGTGAGATCTGTCTTTGCGCCAATTTATTTACTGTTGTACCCAATAATTTTTTTTTTTCAACTCCCTCAAGCCTTCTTGCTCACAGATAATTTAGGCAGACCTCCTGTCCTTATTGCAGAGTTCAGTTTCCCTTTTTCTAGTTGTGTGTCCTGAAAAGTTCAGCAACATTTTTTCCAGGCTCTGTACTCTTACGCTTTTCCTGCTAGGATTGCACTGAGAACCAACTTCTTCCAGTGCACCTCAATTCACTTCTTATGGTCTTGGGAAGGGAAGAACATAGCAACATCACGTCTCTTCTTTTTAGTGCTTTTGTTTTGCGGCAGGAAGGAACAGACTGTTGTGATGTTCTGGGTCCAGGCTTGTCTTAATGGCTGAAAGGAAAGAGGAGCCTTCCTCTACACCCTAAAGCCCCTAGAAATCACGTAGCTCTTCATCCTTTTTGATCCAAGTTGACCATTTTCTCTCATTTCTGATGCTTCTACACATATAAAGTCTGAAAGTGCCATCCCACAAAAGTCTTGCCTGGTCCTCCATCTCTTAGGTTTTTAAATGCTACAGGCCACAACTGTTACACAGCTTCATTCTGTAATTGTTGATGTTTTCATTAAAATATCTACTGCTAGTAGGAAAGTTTACCTGCTTTTTAAATTTAGTCTAAGGTAATTCAAGTGAGCTGTGCAAAAGTGACAAGCTACAAAATTGGTTGTTTTCCCCAGCAGAGTATTTTTATATTATTTATACCTTATAGCATCTCTTAAAATACCAAATCATTAAGATATTCTGTGAGCTGCGTTTGCCTGCAAAAGGTAAACATATGAAAGAATCAGTTGACTTTAGTGACAATTTACTATACTGTGTTTTTATTTTTCTGTTTGTGAAGTGGATATAAAGTTTAGCCACCCCACCCAAAATGTTGTGATTTTAATCTAAAAGCATTCTGATCTATTTTGATGGCAGGAACTGTGTGTATCAGTTTGGTGTTTATTGCAAATATGGCAGCTGGTAGCACACTAACCTCCAGATTCTGCTATCCGCCTTCAGTTGAAATTCTGATTGAATAAAACTTAAGTAAAGCATTTACACTTAATTTCTGTGAAACAATGGGATGTAGGATGAAATTGTCAATGTTGGTTTAGTCTGCCTAAATGTAGACGGACAAATGCTCATCATCATCAGTCTGTGCTCACTTTACTGCTTCTGAACTGACCTCTCACTCAAATGCAGCATCTCAGAAGCTTTTTCTGGAAACATTGAACTGATTCATTGCAATGTAAATATCCCAGCTGTCTGACCAGTTACTACTGGTTTCTTTGTTTAGGGCAATGCTCTAATGATTTCTTTTAAAAGAAACAGAAAATCTTTCCATATGTTCCTATTCATAGGTCATTTTAATTTACAGATGCACCTCAAAAATGAGGATACAGAGTGTGGAACTGGAACACTATTGGCAATAAGGTGCATGCCAGGCTTAATAGTTCAAGTATCAAGTCTCTCATGTTTAGACTTTAATGGCTGCAACACAAACATACTATTCGTTATTGAAGTCTCTTCATTTTCTCTTTTTTTTCAGTAGGGAAGTGTTTAACTTTAGGATTTGATACATATCTGATTTTATTATATTATTTTTCCCAGGTCATGCACAGATTGTCCATCTCTTATTAGAAAGAAATAAGTTTGGAACTATTCCATCTGACAGTCAAGGTGCAACACCCCTGCATTATGCAGCACAGAGCAACTTTGCTGTAAGTAGCACATACCCTAAATTTGAAGTAAATATATTTTACTAAAATATTTATAATGTAACAAAGAGTTTGAGTTGTTTAATAATATAAAATAAACACCTTATTAGTAAAATAATAATATAAACACAGTGTTGTCTGCGCAAGCTTAATTCAGAGTTTTCCCATGTTATGTGATATAAATGTGGTTAATTTCAAACTGATAAAAATAGATTTTAAAAAACTAAATTGCTGTACAAAGAAAAGCCCTTTCATCTATATGTTTGCATTAGAACACACAATGGTTGTTTAGGTACTTCAACAGAAAGCAGAATGGCACCTACTATTTTACAGTACTTTTGCTTTTTAAGGCTCATTATAGCAAAGTCTGAGCAGTTATAAGGTATCCAGAGTAAGATCATCTGTAAGAGTATTTGGACAGCTGCTTCAGTACCAATCAGACCAGTCTTTGCCTTCAAAAAGGTGATTACATTATTAATATTTGCCATTATGAATAAGCCATTGTCTCATAAAGCGTGGCTAAAGAACGAGTACCTTTAGTCACAATTCTCCATGAACACTACATTTTAAAAAGTCTTTTTAAAGTTTTTAAAATTCTAAAATAATTTTTAAATTCAGACAACAAAGAAAAACAGTTTCTCAGACAGACTAATTCTTGTATTTTGGTAGATGATTGTTTTTTCCAGAGGAAGATCAGATATGGTAGAGCTAAGTATAAAACTCAGCAGTTCAATGATTGCTATTACTATTATAGAAGTAGTTCTCAAGCATTGGAACTTATGGAGCCTTTTTTCATGCTGCTCTGTCTCTCATAACTGAACGATGTCATCCGTAGTAAGCTGAGCACTCCCATCTAAGTTTTCTGCAGTTGTATTGTTCATAACCTCCCTTTAAAAAAAGGGTTATTTAGTGCGTAATTAAGGTAGTTATGCAGCACATATTGCAGCATTTTCTTAACAGAAATACTAATTTGGGTCTGTCTTACCTACCCACATGTTAATTTTCATAAAACAATTAAAATTTTAATGCCCTTGAGAACCATCAAGTTAACAAATCTAGAAGTACTATTGAAAGAGGGCACTGACCAATGTAAGTTAATACCACAGCTGTTGCTCCCTGTTTCTGTGTGAGACTGAGTTTTGGCATTTTGGTGGAGGTTTTTGGAGGTGGTCTTAGTAAGACAATACAGATCTTTTTTAAATTCAGACTTGTGTTGGAGCATATATCTTTGCATAATTTTTGCCTTTTCATAGAATTTTTTATTTACGCTGATTGTTGTCCATTACGTGGTCTGTACGGTTTGGGTCTGACTCACACGCCTAAAATATTGAAGTTGTAAAAGACTTTCTTTCTAGTTTGAGTCAGACTGATGGGAAAGATAGAATGTTTTTATTTACAATCTGGTTATTATCTCCACATGCTTTTTATCTTTTTTTTTCTTTTCTATATTGATACATTCCTAAAAAATGATTTTTAATACTGGCTTGCTTTCTCTGTGCTTGATTCAGTTGTATGAAACATCTTCATTATGCTGCTGCCTTTTGATCCCACCAGCCGGCCAAACTATGATATCATTTAGGTTTTTATGGGGAAATAGAGTAGGTGATGGAATCAGACGTTCTTTTGTAATCTCGTGTTCTTACAATGAAGTTACTGTTCCCCACCATACATGATGAATCCAACAGGAGAGTCTCATTCAGAACTGCAAGCCTCTTTTAGCTGCTGATGCATCCAAAAGCCCCTGTTTATGCAGGCTTAAATTATGCCTGGAGCTTCTGGGTTTTTACCACTCCAGTTGTTTCTGAGCACCACTGTTTGCTTTTATTCCTCTATCTCATACAAGTCCTTGAGAAATTCCCACCATGTACATAGTCAAACAACTGAGTGGAGGCACATCCATGTTTATTTTGGCAGTAGCATCTATATATTTTTGCCACGTAGTTGTTCTGTTCAGACTGCCCAAGTCTGCGTAGGTATGGTATGTTTCTCAGTTAAAATGAGAAATCTAGAAAAAAGAGTGATTGAAAGAAAGATTGCTTTGCTAAAACTAAATGGATAATTAAAATTACTTATTTATGTTTGTTGGATGTGTGCCTTACTCTTGAAAGGTACAGCCTTCACACTGCTTTCCACTTTGCAGGATTTCAAGCAGAGCAGAGTACTGGTAGGGTGCTGAGTTGCTGGCCTAATGAGTAGCCGTGTGCATCTGAGGTGTAGTGGTGGTCAGTGTGAGTACACAACCCTACAAACACTCGCTGCTCTGCATGGAGAGCTTAATGCTGCCATTCCTCATTATTTCTGGCTGGACCTTTTTACAGTAAACTGGTAGTTCAGCTACAGACTCAAATTCACAAAGCTGTTAGGATCTTAAATCACATTAATGTAAGATAAATGAGAAATTTCCTATTTCTTTAGAGGGATGAAATAATAAATAGTTAAAAAAATCCAAACTAATTAATAGGATGTAGGTATTTAAACACCTTTGTGATTATGAACATTTGATTCCTTATTGCCAAGGAATTCTCATTCTACCCAGAGCAGTGGTAGAGCTCTTTTGGGGTTACACAGGGGAAAGGATAAACTAGTGTTAATGCCAAAATATAAAAATAAAGTAAATAAATGAAACTCACGTTTTCAGTTTTTATTGGCTAGCCTATCAGTGGTTCTTAAGAGGTATCTACCAGCCATTAAATACACATCCTTTGTAAGGTATTAGATAGAAAAGGGAAAAGTTTTTCCCTAGTTCTTTTTTCCTTCAGTAGTGATTTCATCTGCCTTCCTTTCCTGTGTGGCTTATTAAGAATTTAGCAAAAGTTTAAACAAGTGAACTTGTTTGCTGAGAGCTTACCACAAATGCACCATTTGAAGAAATAATTCTTTTTGCTTTGATTTAAATTGAGATTTTAATGTAACAGTTACAGTGGAAAGCCTGGACTCGGGTGTAAAGAGTTTCTTAATCTTTTTTGGTTTATATTTCAGCAATTTGTAACCTGTTGATATTATTAAATATTAGAAAATATGTCTGTGTTGAAGAAGAAGAAGTCGTCCCTGTTTTTTCATAGTCAAATTTAGAATTGGAGCAAAAACTACGTCAGGAGAATATTTTGAAATAGCATTTTAGAACCATAGTATCACAGTAGTATTTTGATAAGCCGGTAATATTTTTCCCATTGCTTTCTTCACAGTGATTGCAGTGTCTTTTATTTCCTTGTGATGAACACATGATGTTTGACGCTAAAAAGAGAAAAGTATGAAATAAATGACAATGTTAAACTCATAGTTAAAGATGCACAATGAACATTGACGGGGAAAAGGGCATAGCAGAGAATACAGTGCTCCTGTTGAGCTATTACTCTGTATAAGTATAAAAAGGAAAAACGAAGCTTTGATTTGCTTCATAAACAGCTAAATGAGACACAATAGTTTCTTGTTGTTACCGAGTCCTTTTAAAGTTAATTTCAGTACTGTGTCTTTTCAGGAAACAGTGGAAGTATTTTTGAAACATCCTTCTGTAAAAGATGACTCCGATCTTGAGGGAAGAACATCCTTCATGTGGGCAGCTGGCAAAGGCAGTGATGATGTCATTAGGACTATGCTGGCTTTGAAATTGGATATTGATATCAATATGACGGACAAATACGCTGGCACAGGTAAAGTGCTTTAATAAAGAAACGCTGGACGTTCCCAGTTAGTGTCATTTCCACCAAACAAAAAACATCGTTAGAAGCTATATTCGTCTTTTCCTTGATGTGTACCTTAATTCTGAAAATATTTCTGCATTAGTTTAGTTATGTGTGTGAGTTGTTTCTTTGCCTTAGTGTGGGAAAGAAACAAATATTTTCTGGGCAGATTGGACCAATTCATTTGAAACATAGCAAAAAGAAGAAATGTAAGAATGTAAGAAGCTGTTATGCTGCTATTTAGTTGGATTTGTGATCCTGAGAAAAGAGGAGCGGTTCTGTATTTTGAAGAATAAAATGAAATATAACTGCACAAAAAGCCCTCCCTGAAAAATGCCTGTTAAAAAAAATTATCTGTCAGTAAATAAATACTTTGAAACAATACAAAGCAAACTAACTAGTGAAGTGGCTAAGTTATCATTGTGAAAATCATAAGTGCCATAGTTATTTGTAAAGATACTGTAATAAAGGTTAGAGTTACTGCACTTCTGTTGTCCAAAAAAGAGGTTAAACTTGGTAACTGCCAAGTTTAGCATCCCATTTTCTGCCCGAAGCAAAAGATATGCAAGCCAGTGTTTCAGAATTTGTCATGCAAAGTGCAAGTCATGAAAGTCCAAATTTCCTATAGCAACTGCCAATTTATCTCCTTAAATGAAAAATTCTAAGAATTTGCGATAGAAATATTGTACCTATGTAGTACTTTCAACAAAAATAGAGTAACAGTTCTGACGGAGAGGCAGGTGTTGAAGGGTATACGTATTCAACAGTGTTGGAAATACAGGTAAAAGCTGAATAGTGTGCTGATGACATCTGAATAAAAAAAGAGGAGAAGGTGGGTATATTTGGCATAAGTTAGAGGGGTTTGGTAGCAGGGGGATGCAGGGGCAAGCTGTGTGGGAAGAAGTTGTGAACTGCCCTGTGCCAGCCACAGCCAGGTCACAAATTTAAAAGTTAAGTGCAAAAAAGTATACCTATGTATAATAAGTAGTAAAAAGATAGCCAAAAGATAAGAGCACACACTGGTGAATAATACAATAGGGGCCATTTCTCCTGAAAAGAGAACAGTGTTACTTTAAACAAACAAGAATGTATATTGCAATGTTTGCTCATATAAATTTTAACACATTTGTTTTAAGGTATACTTCAGCATTGTCTTCTGGCTGCAGACACACACAAATCAATCTAAGCTGCATGCTTAGATTTAGGCAACATGCAGCATAGATCTGACCCAACCAAGAAACAGATATATAAGTCTAACAGCTTTTCTCTTTTCAGATCACACTTTGAATTGCATACAAATGGTAAATAAATACAATTGCAGGGCTGCATGGTTCAGGATTTGAAAGGCAGCATGTATGAATACTACTTTCATCTTAAAAATCGGACCTTTTTATTTCCTTTGGCTGCATGTGGGGGGTCTTTACACAAAAAAGCCAAATATGGTTAACATTGTAAAATTTTATTGTAAAATAAAATTGTATTTAAATGTCTAAATTCTTGCTTTCTTTACAAATTAACACAGCAAAAAAACAGTCTTTCCAAGTTATGATAGTGTGTAAACTTTGAGTTTAAGGAATAGTGCAACAAATAAAAACGCAGTCTTCATGTTTGATGACTTTACAAATGACATACTGTAGCGTTTTAATCTTGGTTTATCTTTTATCAGTCTCACCTGTATTTACTGGTAGTTCCCTATTAAATATCTCATGGTATTTCAGACCTTAAGGTGCAGTAATGTTGTTGTCACTGTGCAAACCTCCTTGCAAAGAGTTTTCTTTTTTGCAGACAGCGATCACAAACTGTGTTTCTGAAATTACTCAGGTGTGGTACATGCTTGAATAATTCAGGTGATTGAGTTTATTATCTTTCGATCTCTAATGTTCCATAGCAGTGATGTGTAATCACACCTAACCGTGATTTTGTTGTAAGGCTTCTAATCCAAGGAAATGAATGGATTTTCCATTTACTTGAAACTGCCGTTGTGTAGAATGCAGTCATAGTCTTGTGGGGGGACTGTGCCGTTCGTCGCTTGCTGTCAAGCAATCCAGATTTTACCTTTGTGCAAACATGTGCGCTAGCATGGGCTTTATTATCGTGAGCTGTAAACTCAAAAGGAAGCCCACCATTAAATCACTTTCTGATTTCAGACCTGGCTTTTTCTCTGAAGGTTCTTAATTCTTCCCAAGTTTGGTGAGGGCAAAGTAGCGCTGTATTCTGACGGGAAAGTGTGCATTACTAGAAAATAGCGTGCATGCCACCGTGCCCGAGCTACAGTTGCTGAGGAGAGTTCAAGGTTGCGTCTTTCTGACTTTTGTGTGCCAACTCAGTTATAATGTTGCATTAACGCAGCCTTTTGCATTTACTTAAAAAGAGCAAGCTCGCCATTCAGCTTTGCTAGAACATCCAGACTCTCCGTATTGTGTAGGAAAATGACACCAAGGGAAAGGAATTTCCCTGTTCTCGGAGCTCAGTGCTGCAGGAGCGTTACAGGGGCAGCTTTATAGCTCTGCCGTCACTGCGTACAATGGAGAGGGCTCTGTCTGTCGGCTGAACAAAGGGCCCATTGTGACCAGCTGGCCCAAGAATCTCTTCAGTCACCGTGACTCCATCAGAGAAAATTTGGCTTACAAGAAAATATTGAGCACAAAGTGCGAAACAAGATGCCTGCGTCAGAATGAGTGATGGGGGGAAGAACCGGCCAAGCTGACACAGCAGCTCTCTTTCTATTGTATTGTTATACACGCCCCATGTGTCATCTGATGGAGTGCTTTACTGCCTCTGGTTTCATAAGGAACACAGTACAAAAACCAGAACCTAGAGTTTACTGTGAGGTCAGACCATGAAAACCGGGCCCATCCAAATGTACGAAGCGGCAGGGATCTCATTCTTGTCACATTTCTACTGATAGCCACCCAATCGCCTAGCTACTGCAGATCTTGCTGCTTCCAGATATTCTTCATGAGTGCAGTGTGTGCCCCCATGCTTTTTAGCCGCAATAGTTAAACATCACTGTAATCTTAAAGGCATGATTTCAATTACTAAGGCAGCGCCTCTCATACTGTCCCTGGCTGTGACCCCAGTTCTTGTTGGAAGCGCCTCATTTGTCTGTATCACAGTTCCAGTTGCTATCAGTAATTCTGAGAATCTGTTTTAAGGCAACACGCTTCAGCTGGATTCGATTCATGGACAGTGTGAACAACCTGTGCATTTTAGTAGTGCCCATGTAACAGGTTATGCTGGGTTACTGTTTCATAAGCTGTGTGAAGTGGGTACCAGTGGTGAGCAGTAGCAGGCAAGTACAAAAAGCCTGGCTGTTTTGATATGCTGGCTGTGGTTGAAGAAGTAATTCCTTGTTACATTGGCTTTCGTGGTGTGCCTTTCTGTATAATGCCTCTGCAGCACCCTAACCCTGCCTGTTTTAACACTGAACAAGTAGAGACATGTACATACTGTCTACAGCCCCGTGTTTTCTTGTTTGAGCAAAGTGAATTCTCACCAAGGATGAATATTTGTGAAATCTCATGGAGAAATATGAATTCATGTTACTAAACGCACATTTATGAGTTGTGCCGTCTCGTATTTTCATTCTAAATTACTTTGCTTTTGTCACTTGTGTAATATTCTACACGAAAGACAGTATGAAGATGTAGATAATCTGGTTCGATTGCTGAATATAAGAAATAATCCAAAGCATTTTGAAATCCATTTGTAGGTGAAATCACCAATATATGTGTCCTCCATTGGTTTGAAATCTCATTGCTGTGTGTAGTTTGCCTTTCCTACTGAAAGAACCATGAACTGGTTGGACTGGCATTTCAGTATTTTCCTCAGTTCCAGCTGCCAGTGCAGGATGGATGCTGTGTTAGCCAATAGCAACGTCAGTTACAGGACACCACATCTTTTCCTCTGACGTCTGAAGTACCTAACATAGTTCTGTGTTTTTTGTTGTTTTGGACTCAGTGAAGTCTGCATATGTTCAAATATGAGTGAGCAAAGAAAACTGTGGAAGAGCAGGAGGCTGCAGAAATCAACAGTTTTTATACAACTGAACTTCATAAATTGTAGGGTTGAGACAAAATGCAGTGTCACGTATTTCCATCATCTTTTTCTCTTTCCTGAAGAAGATAGGGATCTGCAGATACTGTGTGAGATGTGATGGCCTTGCTACATAGATTTGTGTAAAATTTTCTCCAATTCTGAATAAAAGGTGGGAGGGAGCAGCTGGGTGGTTATCTGGAGTAAGTTTTAATTGAGACAGCTTTGCTTATTTGAAAGGAAAAAAAAAAGTATTTTCAGGAAAACATTGAAGAAACAATGAAAGCTTTCTGTCATCAGCAGTGGGCAGTTTCATCTCCATTGGGGTGATGTAAGAAATGCCATAAAGCAGAGACAGAAGTAGATCACATTGTGTTCTCTTAATGAGAAGCTGCTAACCTTCCACAAATCCTCAGTATAAGCCAATCTTGGTGGTGTTATGGTTAAAATTCCAATTTGTACAAGTTAAAGACATTTTTCAGAGCTAATGTTTTTTTCTGCTTATTGCTCTGATGCTTGTATGCCAAGGAGATGTGGTTAGTGATCACTTGTCATGAGTCTTCAATTTCTTACAGTTGAAAAGCACATTTTTCCCCCAAAATTATTGAAAATAATTTTTATGTTGACTGTTGTAATTGTGAACCTCCAAAGCTCACAACATTGTGATTTCTTTTTCCTCCTACTTTCTTCTAGCGTTGCACGCTGCTGCCCTTTCTGGCCATGTCAGCACAGTGAAATTGCTGTTGGAACATAGCGCCCAGGTGGACGCTTTGGATGTTATGAAACACACCCCGCTTTTCCGAGCCTGTGAGATGGGACACAAAGAAGTGATCCAAACACTCATTAAAGGTGAGCTGCTATGAATTTCCAAACCTGTTCAGAGTCCTGGTGCTGCTTTCTGTGGGACTGGGAAATAGGCAGTATAAGTGAGCAAGAGGTGGGGAAGAAAATTACTTCGCTAAAGGTTTTGTCTGTGTGTACCCTCTGTGGAACAGCACTAGGAAATGTAAAAGGTTATCAGGGTGTTATGCAAAATGCCTGGAAGAGTTAAATACAACACTTTCAAAATTGGGATAGGTCTTTTCACAGCTCTTTTCTGCTCAAGCCTTTTCAAGTACGTTCTAGCCTCTCAAATCATCTCTTCCCCAGCAAGTTATTGGTTTTCATCCTTTTTTTCCCCTCCAGTAAATAAGACCAAATTAAGGTTTCTTCTCTTTTCTGAGAGATCATTTCTGGCTTCTTTGAGGACTTTCTGACTGTTTAAATGAAGCTTTAGTTTTTAATGTAGATATCAAAAATCCCAAATCATTAATATTTTCCTCTGGTTGGTTTTTACAAGCAGTATTTTACTTGAAAACAGAAATAAGTTTTAACAACATGCCCAGGTTTAGATAATTGTAAAAACTCTGCTGAAGTGGAAGAAATATGCTGAAAGAACAGTGGAGTTGAAAATTCAGTCGTTTTAGCTCCACAGAAAGGTTCTAAGTAGCTGGAAGCAGCAACTCCTACGAAATATATTATCCAATTTATGGACAGTTGAAGTATCAAGGCTAACAAGTTGTAAGTTTTCTGTCAACCAACCTTTCTTACTGAAAATCGTGCTTCCCTCTGTCATCTCCTGGGCATATTTTAATTAACTGTTAAGCTCTTCCTCCCACCCCCTAGGCCAGTTAGCATTTGTAGATGCAAGAAGCTTGGTTATCAGAATCTGAGTATGTTTAATTAAATATTTTATGATACAGACAGTCATTGTTGCTGGTTGGTTCAAGTTTTGTGGAGTTGGGTTTTTATTTGTATGGAGTTTTTACATCTTACAAGAGCACATAGAGAAGTTAATTATCTACATAAAAGAGTTAGTATGCTTGAATTAAAAAGTCAGGCTTTTTTCAAAAGTAATTCTTACACTGTGAACATTGTATCTTGTCTGCCTTGGAGATTTAAAAAGATACTTCATCTGACATCTAATTCTCAAAAGTGATTTTGTTAAGAAATAGAAGTTTCACTGAAAATTAATAGGCCTGAAACAAATAAAGGCTATGCTTTTCAAGGGCATTTGACATATCTGGAAATTGTAAAGCATCTGAGAGAATACTCAAAAGCTTGTAAAAACAGCTAGATGCCTGACTCTCACTGAAACTATTTCATTCTTAATTAATTTTGATTTACATTTTAGGATATGAGTAACAAAGTAGATGTTACTCTCAGAAACATTTCTCTGAATTGTCAGTATACCTAATAAATTCTTGTTGAACATAAACCTATTTTTTAAATTTTAATTCAAACGTTCAAAAGTTTTTATGTTCAAAAATATATTTGTTGTTAACAGGAGGAGCAAGAGTAGATTTGGTTGACCAAGATGGCCACTCACCCCTTCACTGGGCAGCCCTAGGAGGAAATGCTGACGTGTGCCAAATCTTGATAGAAAATAAAATCAACCCTAACGTGCAGGATTATGCAGGTCGAACACCTCTGCAGTGTGCTGCTTATGGAGGCTACATTAACTGCATGGTAGTGTTACTGGAAAACAACGCAGATCCAAATATTCAGGATAAAGAGGTATGTTGTTCTTCAGTGGGCTATTTCATTAACTTCAGAATAACCATAAATCACAACATTTTCCTTTTCTTTAGGGTCATTCTCTTTTGTAGGACATAGTGGCATCTTTGCTGCTGTTTATCATGAAAGGAAAATGCATCCTGACAAAATTTTTCCTATGACTTCACTTCTAAAATCTTGAATGAAAAGTAGTATTTTAAGATACAGCACAAATTGAAGATTCACGTTTTTCCATATCACTTTTGACTTTTCCTTGTCAAAGTGTGATCTTATCAGGAGTCATATTAATAATCTGATTTCTTACCTTCTATCGTTCCTTATTAACAGCAGATATGGGGATGTGATTTTATAGTCTAATGTGTTTCTTCAGCATAGAAATAAAGCAAGTAAGATATTGCAAGTGAGATTGCACAAGAACTGGTTCAGTTACTTATCCACATAAGTATCCACATACGTATCACTCTTCCAGGTGAAAAAAAAAACCACTGATTAGTTTATATGTTCTTTTGTGCCATCAATCAAACTGTAAGTGAAATTAGGAGCCAGAATAATTGTGCAACGTAGAGCAGATTTCTTTGTTACGTGACATAATTTCTCAGAAGTTGGTAGAACTTTATCAGTCAAAAGAATTTCACCCAATTTGATAAACTTTTCTGTAGCTGTTCATCATAGGACACGGATAATTCCCAGTAATGGAAAAGTGGTTTTTATTATGGGTTTTACAGAGCATGCAGGGGAGATTTTCCAACCTGCTGCCAGCTCTGCCTGGCGTCAGTTTGAGTACAGTTGAACACATCACCTATTTCACACAGACAGAGGCTACAGTGTGCTCTAGCCCTTGGGGTTCAGGGAGTGTCTTGCTAGCACTGAACTCAGAATGTCTTCATGTTTTTCTGCAGTACCAGCTTTCTAGGTATTTCCTGCACCTGGAGTTCAGAAGAGTAAGATGCAGACAGGAGGCATGGCCCGGAAGTGAAGTGAAATATCAGTGTTTTGTTGATATTAACAGAACTTGAGGTATTCATATGGTGGTTCTGTGATCCCAGGCCCAAAAGTGGTCATGTATGAGCTGGTTGTACAGAGCGCAGCTTGAGATTTGGACTTCTGCTTCATGTGATAGAAACTACTGAAATCAAGCTTGTTTAGAAAGCACAGCTGTAGTCTGTCTTTTTTTACCTGGGCTGATAAGCTTTCTTCACACTTAATCTGAATTTGAATTCCATAGTAATTTTTTTCAGACTTCTCACAGTGTTTTGGAGCAGCCTAGAAAAGAGTCTGAACTGCAAAGGTTGATGAGAGCTGCTTCAGTCCTGGGTGGTGTACCTGCAAAGGAAGCAACTCTAGAGCTAATCTCCTAATGCTGTTTTTTCAGCTGCTTTAGGCAGCATTGAATCACAGTATGATTTACAACTTTTATTGTGGCATGATAGAGTTTGGGGACAATATTTATTTTTGTTCTGTTGTTTACAGGGAAGAACTGCTCTGCACTGGCTCTGTAACAATGGCTACCTTGATGCTATTAAGTTGCTGCTTGGTTTTGACGCTTTCCCTAATCACATGGAGAACAGCGAGGAGAGGTATTGCTTGTCTGAATGCATTACTTGGTAATTTAGCAAAAGTGCTACCTACTGATTTAAATGTTAAGTGTTCAGATATTGCCAGGGAATTGTGATCTTGTATCTAAATGGAGTGCTGTGATTTTGGGCTTCAGTGTAAGCAGCTTTTCTAATGTGAAAAATCTCTTCTTTAAGTAAGATGTTGCGACTTTAACTGTTTATACTCTTGAACCTGGAACTTAGAGAGGTTTCTGCAAGTATTTACTCATTGTAGTCTTGTTTAAAAATTAAAGATCTTTTTCATTTATATGAAGTTGACACTCGATACGTACGGACAAAGGATGAAAAGGCATTTCTGCTGCTGTTGGAGTAGACTGGAATTGTTCTTCTCTATTTGGATGGAATATAGTGAGAAGAAAGAAAATGGGGAAAAATGTAATATTATATTTTAAAATGCTTAACTGTATTCTAAAGGCCAAGTTAAAAAAAAATCTCGTATAATCAAAAAGAGACATTACATTCGTGTCTTTTTTTTCTTTGTCTTTCATTGACATATAAATAATAGTTTTTTTAAAGTGATTTGGGTTGTGAAGTTGGAATTAGTCACCTGACCATGAAGATAATTACTATTAGCAGAAATTTAAAATACCTTTTTTAGAGTAGATGACCTCCTCATAATTATAAATAAAATTGTGATCAGTATGCCATATAAATTTGAATATTTCAACATTTAAAATAACTTAAGGGCTTTGAAACCCCATATTTTAGTGCTAAATTTGTGACTTCCATACTTATCCTGGTTTTTAATTGCTTTATTCCCCCATCATTTCTCTTTTATTCTCTACTCTAGAGCACTCATATCTCTCTTCCTTTGCTGCTCTTATCTTTTATCGAGAAACACAGATGAAAGTATAAGTAGTTCCTAATTAAGCAGTGTCAATGCTCTCTTTAGTAATTTTTGATAGAAAATGAAATAAACAGTTGTAATTAAATTACTCTTAATAAGTAAGATTGAAAGCCACTGTTTTGCCAGAAAGGAGGCTGCTATTTTTGTTATTTTGTAGAAATATACTAATGATGCTCAAATGTCAGGAAAATACCTTGACTGTGGTTTTACTATTGTCATTCAGTTGGTATTGATTTTTGTTTCCCTTCTGGCATTAATATATTTTCTTATGTATAAACCTAGATTACTCAAAATATAGCTAGCAGTATTCCAGATGTCAGCCCTCAAGAACTCATCCATGTGCAGAACAAAACAGATCCCAAATATTTCTAGATAAATCAGTCTTTAAATACAGTTCTCCTAAAAATGTGCATATTATATATAAAATTTGCACAATTGCTTCTTAATAAACATCTACAAAACCTTGTTTTACCATTAAGAGATTGGAAGTTTGGAAAGTGGAAAAATCAAGTCAAGTGCTGTAAGAGAGAGTAAAAATAACCTAATAGATTTGATTCATCCATAATTGAGTGAGATTGTTTTTTAATCAGTAACAGTTTCACCAAATAGTAAATTTTTTTCCGATATACCTACAGAAAGAATCTTCCCTTCTTCCCTTTTTTTAGAGTGCAATAGGAGATACCAGTTCAAAATCCAAACATAGTGGTTAAAAGTAAATAGGTTTGTGAAAAGATGGAGCTGAAAGTGCATCTAGGATTTAGGTTGCTTGCGGGTATCTGATCAAGTGCTAATCTGGAGGGTGCTGGTTCTTTGCAAATTCAGTTCATAATTCAGCTTGATGTCCTGGGTGCATCCCATGATGTCAGGCCAGCTGCTGCTTGACCAACATCATGCTAAATTCTGTATAACAGCTGACGGCCGATGTCTTCTTTGAGTGTTTTCCTGTGAAGCTGGCTTGATTTAAAAGCTATCTGCTTCAGAGATAACCAGTAGAAAATAAAATTAATGACAGGCTTTGAACTGACACAGCAGAGTAATGGCTGGTTGTGAGGAGTGTATGTGAGCAGCCTTGAATGGGTAGGGCCCAGTCATACAAGCCCCTGTTCAGATTTGATTTGAGTGATTTTTTACTTTAAAAGGTAGCTCTGATGGAGTTGGAGAATCCACATTTAAGAATATGGGTCTTCATGACTGGGATCTGTAATATATAATACATTGTCTTGGTACATCCATGCTAATAGCATAAAGTTTACTTTAATATCTTTTGTACCTCTTGTGTTTTTCTGAAATGAGGTCCCTTCTGAAGTTCCCATTCCTGGGTTATCAAAAATCTGTATCTCTTTAAATGCTCTCAGCAACACACCTTGACATACAAATTTTCATGTTATGTCATTGTCTTTATTCCTGCAGACACTTCAGTTCAGATACAGTTAATCCTTCCATCAAATCATTGCTGCGTGGCAAATCCAATTGTGCTTTCTGTCTGTTTTTCTTTACTTACCAGCATTGCGTCCCAGCAAGTTACCATCAAGAAGAGCCCTAATTTTCACAATGGCATGCGTTGACACTTGCTATTTGATAGTCTTGTATTATATGGTCTTCATTATGGTTTGTGACTGATAATTTTCAGTCACTAAATGTCTGTTGGTGATGGTGTCCGTGTTGGTGAGGGACATATGTAAATTTTGCTCCTGTGTTGACAATGGGAAATTGGGAAATTATTTTTAAAAGGGCTTAGGCATCTTTGCCACCACTAAAAAGCAAAGCCATTTAATATTTTTAGCACTTTTGTCCATTCAAAAACAGACTTAAGTCTTCCTAGTGCTTTAAAAAAACTATTATCCCTTAATGCAAGTGTGATTGTGCTGCATGGCCAGTCATGCTGTCCTCAGCCCTTGTTGGAGAAACTAAGCCAGATTTGACATTAAATCTCTAGAATTTAAATTCATATGGAAATAACAGAAAAAATGTTTTAATTTGCTTTTTGTTTAGATTATAATTCTATATGAGAACCTCAGTAACACCTTTTTAAGATTGCTTGCTTAAAGAAGTTCATTTTATGTACAGGAGGATTTTGATCCAACACTTCATATTGTCAGTCCCGCACTTCCCCATCCCCCTTATACTAGGAGACTAGAATAAGCCTTAAACGTAGTCACAGCGTGTAGAAGACAGGAAAATAATATTAGAAAATTAGTAAAACAGCCTACTAAAAACAGTGTGTAATCTGTCTTCATACCAGAAGCTGTCTTATTATGAAATGAGGATGAAGTAAATGCACATTATGGTTAGAATTGTACTTCAGTGATAATCGTTGGGAGTTTTGCTTTGTTTTGTTTTGTTTTTAGATATACTCCACTTGATTACGCCTTGCTTGGTGAACACCACGAAGTGATTCAGTTCATGTTAGAACACGGAGCTCTGTCTATAGCTGCCATACAGGACATTGCAGCTTTCAAAATCCAGGCTGTCTACAAAGGATACAAAGTTAGAAAGGCTTTTCAAGAGAGGAAGAATCTTTTAATGAAACATGAACAGCTGAGGAAAGATGCTGCTGCCAAGTAAGTCTGAGGTTTGAAATCTACTCCAGCAAATAGACACTTGTCCTGAGTTTGTAGATATCAGTGTATGATTTTGTCTGTTATTCATCATCATTTATTGTTCCTCTTAGTTAAATTCATGAAACTGTAGGAAGCATAGAATGAATTTTTTTCTATGCCAATTATTTCCGAGGTAATCCCAAATTAAATAACAAGCTTTATATAATATGTAAGTACAAGGCAAAATACCAAAAGCTGATAAACTAGCCTGTTAGCATCCATGAGTTTTTACCTGATATTCTGTACAATGATAAAACGGTTTGGAAAACATTTATCACTTTAAGGTAACAGAAATAATTATCGACCTATCATGCCTTTGATATAATTTTTGAAAATAAATTAATAAGCTGGGAGGAGTGGCTGACACGCCAGAG